TAAGACAATCATTTGTTGTGTGTGTGTGTGTGTGTGTGTGTGTGTGAAGGGGGAGAGTTATTCTGATGATATTGAATATATGGATACAAAATAGAATTGAAAGTGGCATAAAAAAAAAATTAACCTAAAATTTGGATGTCTCCATCTTGGCTTGAAAATAAAGAAATCAGTTGTTAGGATTTAGTTAAATAACTTGATAAGCAAAACCAATTGCTCTTCCAGAATTCAACAAATATCAAAATGTATTAACAAAAACAACTGAATGGAAAATGTAAGCAGCAAAGAAGTTTTAAGGAAAATGGACACAAAAAGAATCAGAAAGGGAAACTTGAAATTTCTGGATTGCATAAATAAGGAAAGAGGACTTGAAGAATTTAACACTCACAGGACATATTGAAGGCAAGAGAGAAATAGCAAGTAACCTACCTAACAACCATGTGTGATAGCAGAACATGGAGTAGGAAGGACAGTAAAAAAACAAACTTTGCTAAGAGGTTCCAAGGATAGGAAATTGTCAAGAGTCATGATCGATAACATCCTGAAGTTGTATGCCTTTTCTGGATATCTCAGTTTCAGTTAATTCTCTTAAGTAACCCCATTCTTCAAGTTTCTGTTCACCTATGCTTGGAGAGTTGAGTTACTAAAGGGAATTAACTGAAACTGAGATATCCAGGAAAGACCCGGCATGTGGAACTAGAAAAATCTACCCTCATGAGCTAAATAAAGGGTTTTGGTTCAAAATTCAAGCATATGAAGAAGGCTGGAGCATGCAACTGCCAAAACATCATGAATATTACAATAAAGAAGAAGACAACAGTCTAAACAATGTAAATACTTACAACACCTCATCCTAGAAATATACAGATGACAAAATTTATTATTCTGGCTGATTTCTTAAAAACCTTATTCGTTAAACAGATGATCATTTTTCATAAGATGGTGATAACTGTTGATCAAATATTCTTTACCAAGTGTTACAAGAAGTAAGTCTTCTGATAAACCTCTCCAAAACAGAAACCATGATCTGGAATTGGAATAAAAGTAGTGATGGCATATATCCTGATAATAGATTTAGAATGTGGAATTAATAAACTCTAAACACTTAAAATATTTCATTTTAAAGATCAGTTATAACAAATTCAAGGTCAAAGATAAGGAAGTGGAACATAGAATAAATTGTGCTAGGGTTGGCTTTCTCCAACACTATAAGATGCTTCCAAACCAAAATATTAACCTAAGAACTCTAGTCATGTTTTTAAATAGCTTCGTTCAATCTAGACTCTCATATGAACATCATGCATGGTGTCAAACTCATTCAGAAATGTCTAAGCTATTGTTGTGGGTGGTATAATGGCCCACAAAGTGGTGACCATGACACAGTCTGATGCAGGGGTAGGCATTGTCATGAAGCAAGAAATAAAGTCCCAGCATAAACCAATCCCCTTCTTCACCAAATACAAAACTGTCTTTTTTAGATCAATGGTCTTCAGCAACTACAATACTGTTCTTTACAGGATAATGCTTTTCCCCAATTTCAAAATTGTCCTTTTCAGGACAACACCTTTCAGCAACTACAAAATTGTCCTTTTCAGGACAACACCTTTCAGCAACTACAAAATTGTCCTTTTCAGGACAATGCTCTTCTCAGCCTCTACATGAACATGCCGAGATATTTTTTGCCTAGTGCACTGTAAACTGTGGAATTAGAACAATCTACCTCCATAGATAAATAAAAGGTTCAAAATTACAACTAATATCATTTGAAGAAGACCAGAATATACAATGGCCAAAATGTTATGAATATGGTAATAAAGATGACGACAACATACAAAACAATGTAAATAGTGTAAATAAAGAAAAGAGTCTTATTATTTAATATTCTTTTGTATACTGGACAATCTCTTCACAGATGAAGAGAAAACTGAACAAAAATATGGTTCTACAGAAGGATACTGAGAATTCCATGGATGGTGAGTGTAAGCAATGAAGACATCTTATGGAAAATGGAAACAAAAAGGACACTTATATTCAGAATCAGAAAAAAGCAGCTGATATTTTTCGGATATATAATAAGTAAATGGGGGTGGGGGCTTGGGGAATTCACAGGGCATATTGAGGGTAAGAAGGACAAGAGAAGGGAGCTGATGAGCTTTTGTGAATGTATGGCATAGGAATAAATGTTGTCATAGGCTACAAGGGATTAGAGGTTGTAGAAAGCCTTAATCATCCATATATTCTGAAAGTATTTAACACATAGAAGAACAAACCTTGAACATTTGAGTAGTATAGCCAACAAATTTAGCAAAATTATTCACCCAATTTTAAAGTATTTACCAAAGTAATAAAACCTGGCTTAATCTTTCCTTGTTTATCTCTTTTGGATGTTATCTAAAAAGAATGAAGAGGCTGATTGAATATGACTCATTTTTGTTTTTATTAACCTTCAAAATTATCAAGCACAATGGATTAAAGAAAGAAAATGATGTCAGCAGGAAAGATA